CGATCGGGCCACAAACGTCTGTGTGCACAATGTCCAGCATTGCACGAGATTTGCGTTCGACCGATTTAGGGAATGACTTTCTGCATAGCTTCGCTCGCTGACAACATTCGCATCCTTGCTTGACTCCGCAGTCGTACACCTTCAAGCCGGTCACCAGATTCTTCTTCAGCATCACGCTTAGAGCTTCAGGATCCCGATGTCCAAATCTTCGGTGCCAGACGTGCTGACAATCAACTTCGTGGTGGTCGTTCACAGCCATCGAAACTTCACAAGTCGTTTTCACCTTATAAAGGCCACTTGTTTTCTCGGCGACAATTGCCACGGTACCACCAACAAGAACACGACATCCTCCAGCGTCGAACATCACAGCAGCTCCCTTCTCTGTGAGCTTTGGCACTGACATCAGGTTCATTTCCAAGCTTGGAACAAACAACACGTTGCTTAGAGACACATCGGTTGTTTTTCCGTCTCCATGGTAACACGAAATTTTTCCGCTACCAGCACCTTCGACCTTCGCAACTTTTCCATCAGCCAGAGTAACGGTTTTCACTTGGCTCTTCTGGATTTCCTCGAAAAAATCGGAGTCACTGCACATGTGCGCGGACGCACCTGAATCCACAATCCATTCCGCATGGTCCGATTGCTCATGCACTCCCAAAGCAAACGTAACGGTTTCGTTTTCACTGCGCACGCTTTTCACCTTCGGGGATTTTTCCTTACCGTCAACCGATTCCTTCGCATACAGCCTGCATTCCGATTGCTTGTGTCCAGGTTTCTTGCAGAAATGGCACGTTAATGGCTTCTTCTTCTTCTTCTGGAATCCTGCTTTCATCGCTGAACTTGAAGAACCTTGACTTCGTCTCTTCGCCACTTCATCTAACAGCTTCCCTTTCACCAGCTCCAGTTTCAGCTCCTCATCGGACCGGCTTTCCAGGGCCGTGGTCAACGTATCGAACGAATCAGGCAGGCTCCTAAGAACGAGGGCGACCATTAACGCTTCACCCAGGTTCAGTCCAGCGCACGACAGCTTCGTGAACAACTCTTCCAGCTCGAAAAGATGATTCTGCATGTCGTCCCCGTCGTTGAATGATATGTTGCAAATCCGTTTCAGCAGCGCAACCTTAGAACAAAGGGATGTTTTTTTCGTGTTGTTTCTTGAGGCTTTCCCAGGCTTCCTTGGCGTTCTTCGTTTCGCGAATCAGCATGTGTTGTTGGTCTTCGACAAGCAGCGCAATCGTCGCTCTTGCCTTCCGGTCACCGGATTTCCAGCCTTCCGTCACCGGTTCTGGAGCCGCGTCTTCGATGTACCGCCACAGGTCATCCCTGGTCAGCAGCATCTCCGCCTTGAACTTCCAAACCGAATAGTTGGAATTGTTCAGTTTAACAACCGACACTTTGTTGCCTTCCATGGAACTTCCAGAATTTTCACACTGAAGTGAAAAAAAAATAATCTTCAAACAAATTCAAACGTTGCTATGCGACGGTTGTCCTGGGCCCATAACCTATTGGACTATTCGGAAGGGCAAAGAAGTTCGACTGAACGGTTTAGCGGTAGACAAATGACTAAATTTTCTTTATTACAGGTATCACTTATATACTAGAACAGGGAATCATTGGTTGCTTCGATTCGGATACTCTAACATGAGCAGCACTCCGACTAATTTAAACAAAGCAATGGATCGGCTGAGAATGAAAATGAGCGACGAATCTGGTGATGATTATTCAGATGGTAGTTGGAAACGTGACTACAAACACGTATCGAAACCAACTGAAAGGTTCCAAAGACTAAATCTTCTATCATGAACGTAATGGTCCCAGTTATCCAGGGTGGTGACGGTAGATAATGAGTACATACACCGCCTTCGAAGATCTGACGCCATCAACATCGAATAATAATGAAAGAAGCAGAAAATAAATAAGATTTTGTATACGCATGAATTGTACATCTTGTGATTATACTTGAACTTTCGTTTTTTTTTAGAATTTTAGATTGAATTGTATAATATTGTATTTGCTAAATGTTTTGAATTAACCTTCATCAAATATATTATATTAACAATATGATCCACTCTTTCGCTTAGCTGGCTAACCGAATTTTTAGCGATGAAAGCACCTCTGTGGCCAAAAAGCCTAACAATGTATTTGTTTATCGTCACGAGGGGTAAACGAAATGAAAATTTGTTTAATATTTCAAATGAATGTATTTCAGCATTTTATTTTATTTGATGACAACAGTGACATGTCAAACATATTTTAAAATAATATACACAATGTAATTAATGAAAATAATTTGACCCTTACTTTTGTAAAAAGTGCTATATTCGCACCCCTCGATTGTAATTGAACGATTGTTGCTGACCTTTTTCAACGCAAGATGGTGCGTGAAGTAATATTTTGCGGGTCGCCATTGTAACATTTGGAAAAGGCATGAATAGATCATATTGTTAATATGATATATTTGCCTTCATTCAAGGTTTTAAGAAGATTGTTTAATCAGACTGTGAGTATCATCACAGAAAACAGACGTTGAGACTCGAACAAAATTTCTCTAAAAACTAGTGTAAAGATTCCTATTCGACTTAAGCGCCACTAACGGCGACTTCTCCACATAAAATCCTCTTTGACAACCTGGTGGCGCTGGCGTTGCAAAATTTACACTAGACACTAAGTGCTGGTAGCGCCAAGTGGCAATTTTCAACATAAAATTTATCGATACTAGCGCCAAATTTGTCGAAAGTGCAAAAATAAAGAGGAAATCAGGAGATGCTAGCGCTACGTAACGGCTACGTTTCCACTTAACCTTACACAAGTTTCTCACCGAACTTGGACGTCTGTTCTCTGTGGTATCATTGAATTCGAGTTCGTTTGTGAATGGTGTAATTAGGGGAAAGAACTGTAATTCAATGAATTCGACTTCTGAACCGATGTCATTTTTATATTTGTATTGCATGAAGACTTCGGATAGATGAGTGCTCCGAGGGCAAGTGAAGGTGTTTAAATAAATAATGATCAGTTCATACTCGAAGGACTAACCACGTGTGTTTCCTTTACTTATCCGTGCTTATCATTAAATAGAAACATTTCAAGGTGTAGATAGAGAAACTTACCATCATTTGAAAGTTCTTTTGATGTAGTTTCAGCAAATAACCACATGTGCTCCTTCTTGCATCAAGGAAAGATACACGACGAAAATATGAAGAAAACTTCATATTTTCGTCGTGTATCTTTCCTAGATGCAAGAAGGAGCACATGTGTTTATTTGCTGAAACTACATCAAGTGGAAAAAAATCAATTTTCGTAAATTTCTAACTTTAATTTCAAACAAATTTGTAGAATTAGTAAAGATCTATTAATTTGAGGAAAAATACATTTTGCTAAAAACTGATTTTAAGGGTAAATTTAAAAAAAAATGCTTTTTAACTCAAATACGTGCAATATACGATTTTGACGTCGACAATGGTGTTTGAAATAATGTTTTAATAATGATGACATCAACCCTCTATTTCGATATTGTTGAATCAAATTTTCGATACATGTTTAATCACAGACAAACAAACATAACACATTGAATATTTCTCACCTTAAAACATCGTCTTTAAAACACTACCATCATCTGTTGAGTAAACTGTGATGGGCACTACAATCAACAGATGGCGCTAGTGTGTAAACGTCAAATCAAAGGAATCAATTAAGAAACATTTAAATTGACCATTAAATGCGTGTTCGAGGAACAACTTGCGAGAGTTATGTCTGTTTGTCTGTGGTTGATTGTTTAATCAATTAACCATTTCAAGGCTATTTTTTTTTCATATAGAGGGCGTTGTTCCAGTGATAGTAAGTAATAATAATCCCCATATAGAAATTTGGAAGTGTAGAAATATTGTAAATTTCAAAGATTTTTGCACATGAATTTTTGCAATGTGATCAACAAATGATATCTATGACAATCTTTTAAATTTTTCGAACCTCTTAACGGAATCCATTCATGAAGAGCTTTGAGTGTGTTGTTTTATTTCCTTTTAATTCCGTTGTAATTGATTATCTTTTGACACATACGCGTATTTCATCTACTACTTGTAGACTTCATCAGTGTCAAGTACTCAACACCACCACCACAGCGGTGTTGAGTAGTACTTGGTACTGATGAAGTCTGCAAGTAGTATACGAAAAACGCTTATCTGTCAAAAGATGGGGACTCGTCGAAAGCGGGTAAAAATGTTTACCCGCTTTACGACCAGTCCCCAGAGACCCTAATAAAAAATTACCATAAACGAACGATAACCCAAATGATTGAACTATTCCACAAATGGTTTGGATGATACCCAGAACACGTCGTTAAGCAAATTAACCATAACATTTTTATTAGGGGAGCCAAACATTGAAATTTCGAGGTCTTTGCACAAAGTTTACCGCGGCCTTTGCTTTTCAAAACGAACGCTAGCGCTAGCGCTAGCGCCTTTATGAAAGGTCGTTATGTTATTACCTATAAGGATCGAGTAAACTGGGTGCGACAAGGGTGGTACGTCGTTTGGATACAATAAAAGCCACATGAAATTTTGCGGACATTTGTCACCGCAGTAAACAAGGGTTGGTGGCTATGACATCCTGCATTCCACCAGATTTATTTCTGGCAGACATAACATTCATGTTTACATACACCTAGTCGGTAATCGATAGATTTGCAACAGAGAGATTTTCAACATGTTAATTTATTTTGGAAGTGGCAAATTGAAGTGAAAATTCCGAAAATTCACCAGGACCCAGCCGACTTCGACATATCAAAATTAAAAAAAAAAAAAACTCAAAGAGACACGCCGCAATTTGCCGTGCGTCTCCGGTTCTCCCTTCAGAAACGCCACTAAAATTGGGCGTCACATTTATTATTGTTTCGAACGTTCCACACGTTCTTCAATGGTCGAACACTTCGAACATGGTTATTCGAACTGTCATCTGTCATCATCTCATCGTCCAGTCTTTTTTTCTCCTTCATGGATATGGAGTGGTGGATGGCTCATCAATAGCAAAAGACCGGAGATTACCACCATCAGGGAATCGTTTTTGGAACACGCAGACAAGGGAGAACGGTTCCGCCACAAGTTGGCCCGGTGCGACAGCAGAAAATATATTACATAACCAGACAGCCGTGCTGTTTGTGTTTGAGCATGATTGTGTCGCCGAGTTGAATCTGTTGCAAGTTCAGCGCACCGGAGTTTTTTTTTTCCAAAGAAAATCTACAAGGCCAACCACGGATGAAAAAATCACTGTTATAGGAACATTTCGGTAAGTTTCCGGCTACGGTCGTGCCCCTATCAGTAATGTTTTCATTAATGAGCGCTTGTAAAGTTTTTGTGTGGTGTTGAGTGTTTATATTGATAGATGAAGCGATCTATTTGGAGTCAGAAAAACAAGCAGAAAATCGATAGATCCAAGCAACACATGTTCTGTTCACTATCACCAGTCGTTTCGTAATCACTCTTCAGTTTTGTTCTCTCACCCATCTGTGACATTTCGGACTAATGTTAATCTTTGCGCTTTTCAGATAAAAAAAAATATAAGGTGGTGTGAAAGATAAAAGATGGCTGGCACTGGAAGCACGGGATCCACCTTTCCCAAGTGGCAGCTGGCGGTTCTGATAGGAGCACCGGTTGCTCTCGGGATCGGATATTTGTACTGGAAAAAGTCTACCGAAGCGGAAGGGTCCGGCGACAAACTTACTAAGAAGAAACTGGGTGAAATTAAGGATAAAACCATCTCACTCGACGGAGATGAACGATCCCGGTCCTCTCAGGATGCTTTTGCAAAGAAGAAGACGCTCACGCCACTGGAAGAAGCACAGAAGCATAAGAATGAAGGAAATGTTTATTTCCGGTCAGTATGGATTAGATATTTGGAAATCTTAAGACCTAATTGCAATTGTTTCTATTTTCAGGGATGGCAAATACGATCAAGCTATTAAAGAGTACGATTTGGCTATTGAAAAGTGCCCGAAAACCGAGATAAACGATTTATCCACATTCTATCAGAATAGAGCTGCTGCTTACGAGCATCTTCAGAAGTGGGCTGCGGTGATTGAAGATTGCAGCAAAGCTCTCAGTTGTAATTCTAAATACCTGAAAGCTTTGAAGCGAAGGGCCAAGGCGTACGAACAGCAAAAAGAACTAGCCGCGTCCCTAGAGGATACAACTGCTGCATGCATACTGGAAGGATTCCAGAATAAACATACCCTAATCCTAGCCGATCGTGTCTTGAAGGAACTGGGACAACAGCACGCTAAGGAAGCGCTTAAAGAAAAGCATAATGTCCAGCCGTCTACATTTTTCGTAAAGAACTATTTTGCGTCTTTCTCCCACGATCCCATTAAGAAACTGGTCATTGCTAGTACTGAACCTAAGGGCTTTGTCAAGGCTAAACTTCTGCTCGACCAGGGACAATACGATGAAATTATTGCCGCCTGCACGGTAGAAATAGAATCGAGCGAAGCCGACGCTGAATATAAGGTAGAAGCTTTGCTACTGAGAGCAACGTTCTATCTTCTGACGGCAAGCTATCCAGAAGCTACCGTCGACCTCGATGCTGTAATTGGGACGGACTTGGCCGATAAAAAGCTTCGAGCTAATGCCCTCATTAAGCGGGCATCTCTCGCCATGCAAACCCAACCCAACACCCCGGAGGAATGCTTCAAATATTTCAGTATGGCCGAAGATCTTGATTCCAACAATAGTGACATCTATCACCACCGTGGTCAGGTCTTCATCTTGATTGATCGTCTAGAGGAAGCTATCGCTGACTTTGAGAAAGCTTGTTCTCTGTGTCCCAATTCCGGTATCATCGAGATCCACCGGTGCTACGCCACCTATCGTTTGGCCCTGAACAATAAGGACGAATATGCCCTCCGTAAAGTGATGGACGGTTTCCGAAATGCCATCGAACGTTTCCCCGATTGCGTTGAATGCTACAGCCTAATGGCACAAGTTCTCTGCGATCAGCAAGAATTTCAAGAGGCCGATAACTTTTTCGAAAAGGCAATCAAAATCGAACCGGAAAATGCTCAAATTTTCGTACACAAAGCTCTTCTGCAGCTCCAATGGAAGGCCGACATCACGGCGGCTGTAGAACTGATCGAAAAAGCTATTCGTGTGGACGATAAGTGCGAATTTGCCTACGAAACCCTTGGAACCATCCAGGTACAGCGCGGTCAACTACAAGAAGCGATAAAACTGTTCGATAGTGCCATCAAATTGGCCAAGACCGAGATGGAACTGATTCACCTGTACTCGCTGAAGGATGCCGCCATCGCGCAGGTTAATGTAACGAAAAACATGGGATTGGACATCAGAAACATCGTCGAAATGTCACAGCCACAATTCTAGTAAGCTACAAGTTGAACGAATTCCGGAATGGTGCTCTAATATCCGGATTTTCTTTTTACAGAACATCACCCCTTTTTACGACGCTTTTACCCTCATTCACGCCCAAGTTAACTTAGTTACTTGATTCCGTATCCGTACACAAAAATTGTAAGTTTTTTTTTTCTTTATACATTTCAGCGTGTAGCAATATATTTGTTTAGTGAAACTACTCCTAGTTTTCTAATTGTCAGAAACAGATTATGCAATTACCTGTGCTCGGAAAGAAAGTCTATAAAAAATAGAATTATAATTATCAGAATTTACGATAATTTTAAATCTTAAGTCGTTCGTACAAGCTGTACGCGATTGTATCTAAGGAACAGTAAATAAAATAAGAAGTTATGTTAAACAAATGAAATGCCGTTTTATTTTTCCGAGTAAACATTGGCAAACTAGTCGATTGTCGCGTTTAGGTTTTCAGGTCTGGGATGCATTTAAAGTCATACATGTGCACCCAGGTTACCGTTAACAGTAAAATAAACAATGTCCAATAGACCAATCCTAGAAGAATGTTTTCGCGAGTACTGAAAGGTTAAGCTTCTAGTTGTGATCTGTACTTTTATTCTATGTTGTTATAAGGCTTTGTTGATGACGTTTTTCTTGTCGATAATTAGGGGAATTTACGTATTTCTCAGCGTCACATACATACATGACAGGTTTGTTTGTTGACATTTATCTGCTTCCTGTTCTACCAATTCCAATCGACAGAATTGATCAAAACGGGTTGAACATGTTTTTACAACGCTCCAAACTTCTCAGGTGAGTGAGACTATTGTCGGCAGTCTCTTTTTCTTCGGCACCCTTTCCATTTGAACTGCGTGTTAACCAGCTGTTCTATTATCGGCAACTCGAAATCAGCCGTATTTTGTAGTGTGTATATTTCATTTAAAGAAAAATATGGCATAACAGGATTGCACAGTCGTAAAAATGTAATCAGGTTGAAGCTGAAAAGGTAAGGAATCGACTTTATACATTCAGCGAAGAGTTTTGATGGGAAAATACAGTGAAATTAACGTTTCAATTTCGGTTGCCGAAAACAGTCAATGGGTGCCGAAGCCATAATTTACCCTATAACACTTTTGTAACATGTTATAACAACTCTCTCTAGGCCTACGACACTTTTGTAACATGTTATAACAACTCTGTAGTCAGAACAAGGTATACTGTAAAAGATCACCACGTTCAATACCTATGCATGCATGATACTTAACGGTTAATTTTTACTCCTAAATGTATGCTTTTGAGAATCATCTGAAGCGTTTCTATCAAAAAGGGTCGTTCGTATATGCCGCCCCATAACACCATATATTGCTTTATGCATACGCTAAAACGCTGGCCAGACTGATCAGCTATAACATGCTATAAGCCTATCATGATGGCATTTTTCTTGTCGATAATTAGTATAACATGTTATAGCTCTGTAGTCTGATAGTGAAAGTGATTTTTTTTTAAACTTTATTAAAGAGATTTTTAGCCTTAGGCTAGTTCATCTCTAATAGTGAAAGTGATACTAGTAGTAGAATTAAAAGGAACAACATCGTAAATAATAAGGCATACTATTATTCTGCTGTTGTTGTACTCTGTTGTTTGTTAACCAATCGTTATGAAATTTTTGATATTTATGAAATAATCAAAATGTCGTCGTTCCTCAGAACTATACGTAATTTTAATGTAAAACTCCTGAGATATTGATGAGTATGCTGAAAAAGTTGTTTGTGGATATGATTTTGATATATTCACACAAAAAGTTGCCTTTATACATGATCAGAACACTGATGAATATAGTCACTAAATTTCATAGGTATTGGTTCACAGCTAATTAAATGAAAGATGTCCAATATTACATAATCACCCAAATCTATCCTTTAATTGTGTTGAATTTTGTAGAAATTTGGGACACTATAGTTTGTTAAAAAGCCATGTAAATTTATAAAAACTGACTGGTAAACAAAAGAGAAACAACGGTTTTAGTGATGGTATGATTTTAGCTGGTTCTATTGTGTGTGTGTGTGTGTGTGTGTGTGTGTGTGTGTGTGTGTGTGTGTGTATTCAATCTAACCCCCACTGGCCGGCAGTGGTATTATGGAAGAAATTTGCTTACAACAATCCTTGATGTAATAATTTAAAGCAAGTTTAGTCCGGGAGTTAGAAAGCGATAGCTCTACTGCAGATTCAGCAACCCATTTCAGAATGCCTGGTAATTCACGTCCATTCCGAGGTTACTTTCACATACAATAAGCCCCGCATGTAAACACTACCGTTATCAAATGAATAATGGTACTGCAAACACACTTCCAGATTTCGAAATGTGATGTTTCGAAATCTGGCGCGTATTTAGTAATATATGGAAATGTGCATTTATGATTGATTATAAATCAGATGGATCTCACCAAATTCTGGCGCCGAAAAAGGACCGGTTTCTTCACTCGCGGTAATCGAAAAAAAATTCCGCGTTGTTTTTACAACGCAACACGACATTTTGAATCACATTCGAAGTTTTTCTGGTATGATTTTAGCTGGTTCTATTGTTCTAATAATAATAATGTTAATGTTGTGGCGGATACATTTCATGTCATAGCAAACCATATAGATTTTTTGCCATTGCTATCTTCGTATTAAGTTGAAGCCTAATTCACATGACAATTAAAAACTTTTTTTTATAATATCTTTTATTTGTAAAGGCTCAATTGCGTTAGCTTTGTGGAGCCGTAAATTTAAATCTTTAAAAACCTTGTCAAAACAATTTAAAAACAAAGATTAATACATTTCATGAGCAATCAAATATACTCTTTATTACAGACGGTATAGTAAACACAGACTGGAGAAGACGAATCCATGGACTGCAGTCAAGCCAAACGAACTGTCATAATGTGGAGCCAAATGGACAAAAACGTTTTGATAGTGGAGAGCGGAGACGATGTTATATAATAGACCCGCGGAGAGAATTAAAGCAAATATGGTTGCACGGTCAACTAACTTATTTTGCTGCAAGGTTTGGCAACCCGTAATTTTTATTTGAGCGACTGTCGTCTGCTTCAGCGCAACGGTAAAACCATAGAGGTAACTCTAAGACTAGTAGGTCCCAAAGAAACGTGCTCAACTTGTTGGCTCAGCTCTGGTACTATTTTCGGTCCCAAGCTAATCGATTCACCCCTCGAAACCTAGGAAAATCCACTAACCCCTCATTCAGTCTATTGGTACTACTCCGAGACTGAATAAAATTTTCGTCAATTTCCTCATTTTCCGGCAGATTTTGTAGGTTTTCCACAGGAAACCATGAGACAAATTTACTCATCGCTGAGTTCCTGCACATTTGGCGATTATGAGTGAACTAAACTAAAATTTGGGTCGTTCTCATTCGCCGTGTAGTATCGCTATTCAATGGAAGTATTTGAAGACTCAATTTTTGGCAACTCTGAAGCGAACCCCACACGTATCAATATATTGACGCGAAGGGGAATTAGTGACGTCGATGATATTGATGATGTGATTTAAGAAATATTGTCAATATCGATGTATTGATGTCAATATAGAATGTATTGACAATACGATTATTGTCAATAAAAGCAATCGTGTAGGGTCCGCTTGAGTGAAACCACATATTGCTCATAAACTGACTGCGGCTGTGGAATAGGCAAAAATGTGCGTCTATCTTGAAAACTGTCGCTTCAATGGCCCTTCGCTCATTTTCAACTTCTATTCAATTTTCATACTTCAGTAACATAAAAAACACTTTGAATGTAACAACTCAAGGCGGGAGTAGCCGTCAACAATGCTGATGATGGTACAGCACGCAACAACCACCCTACTGCTTTCTCTCTGAGATGATCACGTTGGTCATGACGAGAGGAGCAACACAATAGTTGGGTAAAGAAGAACTGCATTATAACACACCACCGACTGGAAATGCTCTCGCAGCGTGGGGCTTTAGGTAGTGATGAAAAACGTCGCTAGAACTATTCCACAGCCGCAGTCAGTTTATGAGCAACAAGAGGGACGCACATTTTTGCCTGTGGACTTGGAGACATACTTCAAGTCCCCGCGTACATCGTACGGGCTAGGCAAAAATGTGCGTCTATCTTGAAAACTGTCGCTTCAATGGCCCTTCGCTCATTTTCAACTTCTATTCAATTTTCATACTGCCGTACTCTAACGGAACTATCCACCTACCCTCTTCTAAAAGATCATTCTCTAGCTAATAAATCATCACACTAAAGCTTCATGTTAGCATTTCCAACCAACTCTGCCAATCGTAAAATAGTTTTCATTGAATCGATACATGGATACTATACTGAAGAGAATATGAATGTTATAAGTCTTTATATGTTATAATAATTATTAAATTATTAAAAATATGCGTTTCGATTGAAATTGAGAATAGAGGCGCGTATCAATAATCATAGTTATATTTTTGCAACATTTTCAGATTTACTTCTAATCCTTAATGGCTAGACTATGGCACTAGCGATCCACCCAAGTAACCAACAAGCCCGCTAGTTCGCCTTTTTGCAAAATAAGGCTGATGCACGGCTACACAGAAAAAAAAGTTGTTGAATATTACATCCAAACTGCTGCAACCATCGGTTGTGTAATATAACGTTGTACTATGTACATCGATTTTGCGAACAAAATAACATCAATTGATGTAAAATTGTATCTGATTTTTGCTATTACATCATTATTTCATACATCAGCTTGAATTACATTGATCGATATTACATTTTTTTTGCTTTATATTAGCCTTAAATTGCAAAAAGGCGAATTAGCGGGCTTGTTGGGTTACTTGGGCAGTTTTAGGCCCAAGGGCATGAATCAAACTTGAAATTAATTTTCATGGTTTAATTTTTGTTTGTTCATATGGCAAAATACATATTCTAACCTTGAATCGACATAAATTTAGTGAAGAATGATAAAATGCGAAAATTAAGATAGGGTTAATTAAAGGACCGCTAAAGGCTTAAAACTGGCTTACTTACCTATAATGTGATGACAAAACTTAACACTAGATAAGAGAAGAGTAACTACATCTGTTGATTCTGAATGTTTTTCTCCCATTTGACAAGCATACTGAGTGAGTCCGCAGTACCCAGTACCAAATATCATATCCGAGCGATAACCCAAATTATAAAACTATTCCACAAAATGTTTGGATGATAACCTAAATATGTCATTATGCAAAATAACCATATCAATTTTACTGAGTCTATCCATTTAAAAATTGTTGATTTGGGCTTGCAAGTCAGTGCACCTTGTTGCCTTTACACATCTTGGTCTTGCGCTCAAAATGCGCAACGCAAAAATGCAATCTGTCAGGCGCAACTCTTGCTAATCAGTCTTGTCCAATGTCGGCCAGATGTCGCCCAGAAACCTGGTTGAAAAGGCACAAAATGCACCCTCCGATGCAGCGAAGCTTGTGTACTCCCACACAATCGCAAAGTAAATCCAATCGACAGTAGCAAGAGCGAGAGGCACACTGGAACTGCTCTGGCATGCATCGTATTGTATCAGCAACACATCCGCACATTTTCCACTACACCAACCAAACTCAACCACATTCGACAAATTGTTCGCGTTCAGGAAAGTTGGTCTGCAGCAGAGGCAGAAAAAAAGGTGAGCCATGCAAGATGGAAAATGCGTAATTTTCTTGCAAATTTCGCGTCCCCAGATCCCGCTGGAATGTGTCCCACACAGTGGTGGGTGAAAGTAATCAACTAGTGCGCGATCGGTTTGGATTTTGACGGGATCGGACCAAGCATTCGGTGGCAGAAAAGTGTGATGAGAAAATTTTCTCCACTTCGTGTGTGACGATGGTGAAAAGAAAAAGAAACTCGCGCACCGTCATTAGCCAGGCGCGTTTGACAGCAGCTGTGCTGTGTTGTGTGGCAGGGAATGAAAATGGGTTGGGGGTGGGAAATAATACCCCGCCGGAGTCAGTAGTGTACGAGGAGTGGGCGGTCGGTTTCGCTTATACTGCGTTCATTGAAGTATGCGGCAGAGACGGATTCTAAACTTTGGTAGCGATCGGAACTCGGCTAATACTTTGACCAACAACAACAGCAACAAGAGACTATCAATTTCTTATTATTGGAAAGGAAACTTTATACGGTCGTCGTTTGATCGGAGGTCAAGGGAAGTAAGCGGATGGTTGGTGCCGTGCGAGGGAAGAATTCGAATGTGTCATCATCGCACGATCATGGGCGATCTCACTTGGACAATACAAAACTGCTTTGTAGCAAACTGAAACGAAGAGATTGTGCTTCTCCACAGGCATTTTTTGTTTCATTGTTTATTGAGCCTAATCATTTCATATTCCTCTCGCAGTAGGTTTTCTTCAGGTGTTATTGCACGGTAATGCATTATTCCGAGGATAATTGAGATAGCTCTTTTCTCTTTCACTACTTGCTGATTAGGCGAGTAATCATACGGTTTTTTTTCTTGCTTGCTTCCGCTTTCTCCGATTTCTGTTGGATTTCGTGCCGAAAGCCTACATCGCAATTTTCCTTGCACTGAGTGGTCAGCTCGATTTGAAGATTTGCGCTACAGACCGGAATAGGAAAGACCGCCGCGATTGGCGACGCAATGCATTGTGCGGTTACGTGTTGTTGGCCTTTGAAGGGTTTCGTTTTGTTTATTCGATAAATTTGTACGGTTATAGCTATACACGTTCTGAAGATAGGCCTTATTTACTATAGTTCCTGTTCTTATCTTTCCTTCGATTCCGCAGGGGAGGTGCGCAAACATCGGCAAATCCGTTTATGTATTTTCGTTTTGTTTTGTTGCCATTATACACAAATTCATCATCTACTCGTCTTTCATCACTTCTTGACTGTGGTCTCCACGTGAGTGGCTGCGTGCGTGTGAGTGTGTATGTTGCCTTACTTTTGGAATACGGGACGTTCGTGAGAAGGTATAGCAGCAAAACACGCACCAGGAGGAAAGGCACGACACTTCGACGAAACATCACCTCGGCAGGAATCAATCAGAACATTACAGTCCAATAAGTCAGTCTTGTTTCGCCGTTGCCCGAGTGAAAATCAATATTGATTACACCAAGTGAAGGTAGAGGCAGCAACTCCTTCGTGTTAAACACAAGCTGCATAGAAATTGACCAATTTAACGACGAAGAGACGACCCATAGGGCCAGAGTTGTCACGGATTGGATCTCTCTCGAGACTAATATCGTTATCGAATATCAATTTCGATTCGCACCGTCAGCATGGCGCAGATGGGAAGAGCAGTGAAGAATCTGGAGCCACCAAGACCACTCAAGTCGACGTTGAAGCAATCGCATGTCCACGTGCCTGTGTATGAGGTTCAATCAAGTGAGTATTCAACCCATCTCTATTAGATTGGATCAGTTTTGATCAGATTTAAAACCTTCTATTTCACAGTCGAAGAACTCATCACGTTGACAGAGAATGTTGCTGCCAGTTTGGCCAACGGGTGCAACAACGCCGATGGTATGAATGCACTGTTGGCTAACCTTCGGCTACACGGACCTCAGCTGGAAAACATCTCCAAAGACACACTTGATCGTGCGTTTGTCATCTTTCGCAACGCATCGCAGGACGAACGGTTGAACATCATGACCAGGCTCAACCTGTTGGAGCTAATTGAACTGCGAGCTAAATCGTGGCAAGTATCGGACGGCACCAATACGTACTACAAGCACAAGGCAACCAATGTTGAGGTAACGAAATCTCGAGTCGATCCAGGTCGTCAGTTGTTTACATATTTGCAATTTCAGCCGGATGTTATTGGTGATCCATCGTTGTTGAGCACCTCCCCGCCTGGACTGTCCCTCGGACAGCAGGTGATTCCCTCGTTATCCCCCGGTGAACTGATCCGTACGTCGGGCAAGTTCCCGAAACCGACAAAAATCCCCGGCAAGACGTACTGCAAGGACGAGATCGTCATCCGAAACGCTGACTCTGGAAAAGGTAATATGTTGCTCGTTTTTCGATCAGCAATAGGACAGTAGGATTCAGCTGAAATGCAAACTGAATCCTATTGGCGAAGATATTCTTTTTTTTCGATTAATTAAACGTTTATTTCCAACCATCGTCCGTACTGTAAGTTATGGGAATCAAGGGACGTAGAGTTCACATGATTGAGGAATTGAGCGAGACTGTAATATCGTTCCAAAGAGGTAAAAATGCTCGCCACTGGCGGCTAGTATTCTTGCGTGTGAAATCACTAACAGCACCTGTTAGCCCAAATAAGGCTTTCATATAAGAAAATGCACTAAACCAAATTATTCTGCACAAATCACATCACCATAAATGCGAAACTTACATCGGATTTGGGAGTTCAAACACAGTTACAATGCCCATTAGTCTGCACAAAGCGCCAAGTCCGAGCTTCATATTCATAAATGCACGTTCTAAATTACGTTTTGGGCTGCGAAGAAGTTGCTCGCATATCTCATTATTAAATTAGCAAGCTCGTCCAGCTCCACGTGTTTCATATTTCATATACCTACAACAGGAAGACTGTGTAGGAAATTTCTCACTTGCATCATGCACCACGCTTGACCACCGCTCACCTCATTGCAAATTTGTTGGATATTATACAAAATGGTTTGGATTCGTTGTGTGCTGTGTGATAACTTCAATAGAGATATGTGTCATGTGCCAAAGGTAATGCATTGTTTCGTTGATTTGCAGTTAATCCAGGTGCCAAGGAACGTCTTGTTCAGATCACCGGTCCTAACGAGGAGAAAATAAAGTAGGTTCTGTGTTAAAAAACAACAACATCCGACATGCTATTGTAATTTCTCCCCAAAACAGCTACGCAAAGCAACTTATCGAAGATACAATCCGCCGGAATGCCTCTCCGGTGCGCTTGGAGACCTCTCACGATGGTTCCTGCAGTTCGCTGGCTTCGTCGGCTTCGGATGAAATGATTCATCCGAGACGGTCGATTTCGGATGTCTCTAGCATCCCATCCGGCGGACAGCGCGGTTCTATGATCACCAATCCGAACGGAACTGTTTCCTATGTGCCAAACCAGCAATCAGCTACTGGACTGAGCTTGAATTTGAGCAACAACAACATGTACCACCATCACCAGCAGCAGCAACAATCACAGCCACAGTATAGCCACCCGAAGCTCACCCGAAATGGATCCCAGAACAACGGCCAACAGGCGGGGCTACTGTTGCATAGCTTTTCCACGAATGATGCCTCGTTAGGCGATTTCAAATATACTGTCAACGTCGGCAAGCACAGCATCAAGATCACCGGAGATTGCTTCGACTTAGTCAGGGTAAGTGAGGTATACCTATCTGTAGATGACTGTATAGAGATCTCCAGATGCTGCGTGAGACCGTAGGGATTCTTTTTAAGTAGATATCGCGGGATACCTTCTTGGTTCTTCATTTTTTCTTCTTTTCCTTTCTCGTTTTATGTATCGACGTTTGACTTTAGTGTTCGTGAGACATTTATTTTATATATAGAACATCAATATAACTTCGACATTGTCAAGTATGACTGGCAGTTTTAAACTGAGAAAGTTAATTGCATTAAATGTTTATAACGAAACTAAAAGGAAATTACATACATGTAAAATCGACCAAAAAATCGATTTTTCAAAAATGGTCGAATTCGATTCGTATTAGTAAACACGTGTTAGTATTAGTATTAGTAAACACGTATTCGTAACTGATATTCGTTGACCGAATTTTGTTCCACGCGCAACCGGACTGTAAAACTTGTAACGCGTTTTTATCGAAACACAGAGTTGATGTACGGGTCCCAACGATATCTCAGGACTGGATGAACCAAACTGGCTAAAATTTGGGGTGAAGACTGACAAGATGTATCCCGTGTGCATGATGAATTTCATTTTTTAATACAAAACCATCCATTTTTTAATATAAACCAGACATTGGTAATCCTTGCACTGATGGTGGGTTCCATTCACATCACATCACATTAATCAAAATTCCGTTGAACTGTTTTCCAAGATTTTCTCTGAATTTGTTAGGTAATAATTCAGGGGAAACATGTCAGAAGGGTCTAACTCGAAACGTAAACAATGACTTGGATCGTCGGTATCTTACGAATGACAACACACCCACTCAAACTAACTAAATCATCTGACAGAACAATGTTCGTTCTATTAGCTGGTGTAGTCAGATTCCGTGGGTGTGTGGTCATTAGACTGATGCAAAATTTGACTTTTTCGCTTCACAGTGCTTAAATGGTTTCCAATCGGGTCGTGATTAGCCTCCAAAAGTTACAACTCATTTGGTTAGAAACAGACTTCGCACAAACCATTTGAAGTTCATTAATTTGAAATTCATTCATTAAGAAACAGACTTCGCACAAACCATTTGAAGTTTACATGTAAATTACTATGGGAAATCTCAACTTTTTGTTCATTGCCTTCTAATCTTTTTCAATATTGAGCTGCAAAACAGCTCGATAGTTGTTCTTATAGAAAATTTTCTCAGCTACAACTTTGCACAAGACCATTTCTCGATAACTTTTTCAAAGGGACGTATCAGCTTTTGTAAACAATGCATTTGATCGTCGATTTGGCGTAACTGGTAGCTCGCACACGCTTACTAACACCACTATCAGGTAGAGGAAAATTTCCCCTATCTGATGGCAGTGTTAGCATGCGTGGGCGAGCTACCAGTTACGCCAAATCGACGATCAAATGCATTGTTTACAAAAGCTGATACGTCCCTTTGAAAAAGTTATCGAGATTTCTATGTAAAACGAGACAGGAAATAGTTATTAATTATTTAAGAGATTGGTAAACTTATGACATGATTAAGCAGCTGCTCTGTAGGCAACACTGTATTTTGCAGTGTGACATAGTAGCCATAATTTTTGTGTCCTATTCAACGCCCCAGAAACACCAATGTTGCCTGCTGAGCAGTTGATTAAGCATGATCATAAGACATCAGTGCATTGAACCATTAATAACTTTCGATCCTTGCATTTAATCAAAACGTGGTCTTGAGCAAAGCTGTAGCTGGGAAAATTTCCTACAAGTAAAGTTGAAAGCTTTTGAAGCAGACCGATATGGTGAATTATTAGATAGACATGAACAAAAATCTTGGTTTTCCCATAGTAATTTCCATACAAACATCAAATGGTTTGTGCCATTTCTGTTTCTCACCAAATGGGTTCAAATTTTGAGAGGTTAGTCAGGATCCGATTTGGAATCGTTTAAGTATTGTGGAGCGAAAATTTCAAATTTTGCATCACTCTAGTGGTCATTCAAGAGAAATCGACGTTCAAGCCATTGTTTACGTTTCGAGTTATACCCTTCTGACATGTTTCCCCTGAATTCTACATTTCTTGGATTTTTCAAATTATGAAAACATTCAACAAATTATTAGGATAATTTCCTGACCACAATTTTCAACGCCAATTTTTTTCAGGGACCATAGTATTTTGTTTTCAAATCTGGGATCTTGAAAACTTTTAGAAATCCCACATTTCAAATCTCGAATACGTCAAAGCCATAGACTTAAGGAAATTTTCTTACATTATTTGTTTCGGACTTCTATTAATACACATCACGAGTATTTTTCAATTACCTTTCATTTGATATTTTGATCTTTGAAATGGGCTGAAATGTGGTTCAAAAGTTATGGATCATTTTTTAAATAAATAGATTTTTTGGACCACCCTAACATGCAAATGGTTATCGTAATGACAAAATAAAATATACTGGTCTAATATTTTGCATAAGAAACAAAACTACAATGTCCACCGTTGTATAATTGGCAATGCACCCGTGTACTGAATGGGAATCCCACCGGTGCCCATAGATTTTTTCGCAAATTTTCTCACACACACGTCTCTTACCGATGATATGTGCTTACATGTCAGTATCTTCTAACCTTCTAATAAACAATACTACAAATTTTACGAAATTCTGAGAACCACTATATCGTTTTGCTATGGAATGCCCAAGTATCGGTTACAATTAATTTCACTATGTTATATGTTTCCGTAGGTTGCCAAGCTGGTGCTGGACGACTATTTCAGCAGCAACGAATTCCTTGCCTCAGTTGAGATGGGATCCAGTTTCGATCTGCCAAGTTCCCTAGCCTCGCCGGTAACGCCGATGGCAGGTCAGCATCAACTGATCACCGGTTCGCCCTTCGTGGACAGTGGTGTCGGCTTGGATGCCATGGCCGGCGGAATGGGATCGATGGGGGGCAACTGCATCGAAGTGGATGACGATGTATTCATTGTAGACCCACCGACTCTTGGTCTAAAATCGGGCGACAGTTCCAGTTCTTCCAATTCGACGTTGGTCTCTTCTACGCCAGTGAACAATGGTTTGAGTCGATCCAGAAGGAGCCACTTCTCACGCAAGGATAGCGCACCGGAGGGCATTAAAGATGGTGCTGGCGCCACGCCAGCTTCGAAGGACGATTCTACGCCAGGTGAGTTCAATGAAATTTCCCCCCATTTTCCAGGACATTTATACGTTTTATAATCTGCTTTTCCACAGTGAGAATCGTTCATGAATACGAACGCTTGATCTACTACTCCAAATCTCCCCACTCATGGGCTTTGCCACGTGACTGGCTGAAGATCTGCGACAAGCTACCCTATCTAGTACGAAACAAGGTAAACGACAATGGTATCAGTTCCCCACCGGGCACTCGGATGTCCTCTGGCGATCGGGACTGCCCGAGATCCGACTGTAAAATATATAATCATATTCCTACTACCACAATCTCCGATTCCACCCCTACCACGACGAGTACCATCATTAATTGCACTAACAACAAAGGCTGTGGTCATTTCGATACTAACAATAACAACCACAACATCACCACTAGTGATAGCAATAATAATAATACCCATCAGCCTAGAAGAGCCACTCACTTTACAAAAGGCTTCCTCAATCGCCACGCTTCGCTCAGTACGAGCAGTTTCGATATCTACGGTTCGCCAGGTACGGGGCGTGCTCAGCACGGTGTAAACAATAATTTGTCCTATCTGTCGAGAAATAGCTCCGAAACCATCATCCCGTACCGATTGATGCGATACAAATCGACCGATGATTGAATAATTTCTTTAATTGATTCCAACGCAGTTCAACCATAACGCTCTGACCGTCCTTGCAATGTGAATGTAGACAGGATTTCTGTTGATTTTAGCTAGATCATTTCGAATTGAACAACAATTCATTCATTTGATGTCGAATGAATTACCTGTTTTAAAACTTATCAGTACGCTTTTTGTTTGTTGCTATTTTTAACTATATATTCTGTCGAATTTATGACATATTCTATTGAAAAACTTAACTTATCATCGATTTAAAAACAAAAGCAAAAAGGATAAATGAACCAAATGAAAGCAAACCAAGCAAAGCGATTCGAGCTTACAATGGAATCAAACCAGCATACGAATATAATGAATAACTATGCCTGTTGAATAGATATACCTAAGTGCAATCGAAACCCAGCATATCGGAAAACGAAGCCTTCCATATAAGTGTTAAGTTTAACTGAACTGAATAAAGTTTAATGTAAGTCACTAACCGCATTTCATCCTGTACAACAATGTGCTTTCTGTATTGTCACTCAATTATGCTTAAGCTATTGCCAATCCAGAGACAACCGCAGCTTTAAAAGTAAGCAAGATTTTCAAATGCAGTGCTAATTTTTCTCTGGATTGGCAATATAATGGAATTGTACATATTTCAGTTGTGGTGTCTAAATTATGAAGGCTTGAACACAAGAAAATTTGGAGACTTGTTAAGAGTTAATCTATGTTCGTTGTTTTTTTTTTCATCAGAATTTCATTGCGTTTAGACATTGCTTCTAATTGTAACATTTTTTATGCGTAGTACCGTGTGGTGCCCGTTCACCGCTCATTTTGCCAAGTTCCCAAAATGAGTTCTAAACATGCATTTATCCGACTTAGTCACTCGTTTAAGATGCCAGCTGATTACATTCAACCATCGGCTTTTTATTTCAATGTTTATTGTTGAAAATATAATTTTGTTTGAGTGATGAATGGAGACCCAACAATGATAAAGAGTTTCCTTCACCGTTCACTCCAAAAATAAACTTAAAATAGACATTACTACCAATATTTTTATAGCGAAGGCCAGTGTTTAATCAATATATTAATAACCTACAAGTCATATAATACGTTAAATGACCAGTAAAGATATACAATTCAAAATGTAAATATTTCCTCTACGACATGAGTGGTGAAGGGAACCCCTGATTACATGCATTATTATGTGTCGATATCAATTTTGACGGCATTATTATGAATGTTTTATATTTTATCCACAATCTTATGATACTGACCTTTAAACTAGTGCAAAAATATGCTCAATATATTTATGAAAAGTAATTTTACTAACGATGTAAACTCGATTTTGCTCTAAAGTTAGCGGTGAACGGGCACCATACGGTATTTAACGGCGGCATTAATATATAGAAAACTTTTGCAAATTCAAACCCAGATATTTTTTTTTAGGACAAGGTGTGTAGAGTCCAATAATGCTTGTATTATGCTTGTCTTGCCTCGTTACTTCGGATTTTGTATTGCACGAAGCTCAGAAACTACTAAGATGAAAAATAGCACTGCATATCATTTCGTATAGGAAATTTTTGAAATTACTGAGTTTCGTGCCATCAAAAATTCGAAATGGCAAGGCAAGACAACCTTGTTTAGCGGTCATTTGTGGATTCTATCAACCTTGTCCTTCTCCTAGTCATTATTAAGATCAATATTAGTAAATTTTGCATGAGTCATTGTCGAAGTCAACTTTCCATTACCTGCAATTTGTCCAGTTGTCTTGTGTCCAACTTGTAGTTACCATTCTAACGATCGCACCAATGAATGTTGTACATTGCAAAATAATAAATCATTAACTCACATGTAAGTATGTACTGACAAAAACGACCACTAATCGACCGCTATTCAATGGGTATATTGAATATTTTAAACCGCTTTCCACTTGAATCTCGGAAAAATTCCGAAAATTTGCTCCCCCACAGGACATTAATGACGAAAAGACCCGCTTCAATGGTGATAGATTTTTGGAAATGAAATATCAAACGGAAGGTCCCAGCGCCAGTAGTTTTGCTGACGCGGAAGCTGCCACGGCAGAACAGCAGCAGGGTGGAGATTCGATCAGCAACGGAAACGCCTCGACGACAGCAACGATATCGACCAATGGTGGAGGAGAAAACGCATCCAGTGCGACCACCGATGGATCGTCACAACAGCAGCAACAGGAGGTGCCGAAGTAAGCGAGAGCTGCTTGTAGTTCTCTGGTGGGCTGATACAGAACAATTATTCTATTTATATACTATTGCTAAACTAAAGTTATGTCTAACTTTTGATACGACTATTTTTGTAACAGTAATAATTAGTTGTTAGTAGGTAGAGGTATGAGACAGGGAATGCAAGCGGCTAAATAAGCTAGCGTTTCCTCTAAACCTGATGCTAACGTTCATGTATTCACGAAACCCATAAGGAGTTGGGACCTTCTTTTCATTTTACAAAGTCGCTTCTGATTAGCGAACCGAAACGGTAACCTTTGAATTGGTTCCAAACATCCAGTTATTTCTACCATCAGAAGATGAGATTAACCGAACATAATTTTTACAACAAAAAAAAAAACAAAACTGAACTGGAATCTTTTTCGCGAAGTAGAAAAAGCAATTCGACCACAGTGAGATCATATTTAACTATTAGGAAAAAAAGAAAGCAAATCTCTCTTAGGATTAGCATACTTCATCTAACAATCACTCAACCCATATACACGATTTATCATCACTCGGAATGTAAACCAACCCTAAGCAAATGATGCTGTGTATTAACAACCATCTAGTCTACAAAGAGCAAAACAACAACCGCACACCATGCAAAATCCAACCTCCAACAACAGTGCACTGATAACACTGATAATCGACCCTTCTAAAAGATTTCATAGTTTTTTTAAAACACATTTTCCGTTCCTTTACCCCAAATGTTGTTATAATTAATAATTCAGAAATATTGCTTGATCCAACATTGAAGACACACTATTGCTGTTGATTTTGTTTTTTGACCAATTTTTTTTTCAGGAACAATTTTTGTTTGTTTTATTTATGATCTATTATATCGAAAAAAAATGTTATTTATTTTGTTCTCTATTTATACACGTATTTATGAACCCTCTTCTTGGGCGCTTCGGATGAAAACCTGTGTTGAGACTCTCAATGACAATGCGAAACAATCAATCTTCAAAAGTACTGAACTGAGTAAACGGCAAGTTATTTCCCTGATATAGTTAATAGTTGTCAAACCTTACGAAAGAGAGAAAACAAGCATGCTGAACCTTTGTCTTTAAGTTTATTAACAACAAATCAAAAGTTAGAAAAAAATAATGAAAACAGATATTAACCCCCATTATTACCCGATCAACTTACATATTTAGCCCAACCGTAACGTCAAATATGAGGAGTGATAAAATTTAAAATGATTAATAAAAAATACAAGATTTGAGCTTAACAAAAAGGTAACTTCTGATCGCGACTACGTTTTGGATATAAGAAATAAAATTTATTTTTTGTAGAAAGTGCTGGCCTAAATGTTTTTAAGAGAATATTCCCTGCGCGATTGTGCTACATTTCCCCGAATATGAAAAGAACGAGAACCGTGCAAGCACCATATTGTGAACAGCTCCATATTCTGAACGGCAAGGCAAGACATACTTTAAACACAGACAAACAGATATAACACATTGAATATTTCTCACCGTAAAACATTACCGCCATCTGTTAAGTAAACTGTGGTGGGTAGTACGCTGAACAAATGGCGGTAGTGTGTAAAAGTCAAACGCAAGGGAATTGACTATGCGCGCCACAGGTGGCGGTACTACCAACTACGATACTTTGAAATTTACCGTTTATCTGTGCTTTAAATGTTTTTAATTTTGGGGGGTCTTATGAAGGCCAAATCTCGTCTCAAGGCCACATTCCAGAACACGGGTGGAACATGGTGATCACGTCAAACTATAAAGTCTAAAATGAACCACATGCCCCAGACAACCCCTAGAACGGCTCCCATACACTCTCCATGCTGAATTGTGAGTCCCTTTTTTCCGATAGCATTGCATGCAAAATAATAACCCAATGAAATCCAGAATGTTCAGTTGATCATCGCTACTTGAATCGCTGAAAGTATCTTCCGAGTCTTCGTATTCTAATTCTACCATTTCAGTGAACAATATTGTGACTGTTTTAAACTCGCTTCTGTTATTAGCCACCTCTTGACAATAATCCGCCGATCGATCGCTTCTTTCTACATCTTGCCTTGCGCTGATATTCCATGAGGCTATTCATCTATCTATCTATCTACTGACTACGAAAATCTTCATGATTCTTGGTTTTTCTTAAAGGACTGAGAATTATTATTTAGATTTTAATTTTTTTTAAATATTTTGGTCTTTAAATTCCATTTGTAACTTTTTTTTCTCTTCCATGAAACTCCAATGACTCTAAAACTTTCGCAAGAAACTAACATATTGAAATATTTTCAAAGTTCTTATAATTAGCTTGTTTTTCAACAGTCAATGGTTAGTAATATCAAAATTTGATAAGTGTTACATGCAAACGAAAAAGAGATATAATCAAGGTTAGTTTTTTAAAGTAATAGTTTCATCTGAATACCCAACTAATCATATATCGTATTATGGTATTATCTCAGTGACATTGTGTCACTCTGAACCTACATTTAAAGTTATTTTGTGATTATATTGTTACTTGCTGAGGGTTACTTGGATACTCACATGAAATGTTGTGCAAGTACCACAAGTTCTTGATTATCTGCTAGGAAACACCAAATAATATATAGAGATAAGGCTCAAAAATACAGTTTTAACTAACAGTAGGGTTAACTACCCCATTTCCGGCCTATTAAGCACAACCCACAATTAGTCTGTCTTAATCTAGCGCAGTTTAGCACCAAACGGTATGTTATAATTACTGATTGCGTCCAAATTTATTTACCTTTCCTTATGTACCTTAAGATTTGATAAAGAGAAACCAATCGTTGAGATATTGTTACAAGTCTAACACTGCTTCTTGACGCCAAACTCGGCCTATGGAATCTAAACTCAGCCTAACGCATTGAAACGCCAATGAATTCACTTCGGCCTATCGGATGAAGATAAAACATGATTCGGCCGGAGCGCCTCTTTTGTTTTTGGGAATAATGGGTGCAAACCTTCATATCACGCGTTCTCAGTGACTTCGTTCGGTAGCTTATTAACTAAAGTATAGTACCAAAAGCATAATTGACTTGTTAACTCTGAAATCATGAATTTATTTGAAGTTTTCTGCTCGATAGGCCCAAAATGGGCGATTAGGCCGAAGTAGTTCTCTACCCTACTTTATAAATATCGAGCTAACCCATATTGGACCCTGTTAACCTACGGCACCTGCATGGTAATGTTGGCCATCAGAATGGTTCATCGGTTACCAAACTGAAGCGATACGTAACGTAAACTTAATATATTCGCCAAATATGCTCGTCCACACCCGAAACCCATCCCCCACACAAAATCAAATAAAAAGGTTTCTGTATGGCAAACACGCCCGGACATAAACAAGAATATGGATAATCTTCACTATCGCAATTACGGGTAATCATCGAAAGAACTTGCATTTTACCGAAGACAACAAATCAAGACAACTGGCAACTCTTCCATTTTCTCAAACGACCGGTATGAGACAGGCACAATCGCGTCATCTGCCGCTCAAAGGTAAATGTTCCGAACGAATTGGATACACACAAAAAATAATCATTGCTAAAATTAAAAAAATCCGTTGGTAGAATTAAAAGTTTGCGTTGGTTCTTTTTGGTAGAAAGCGGTAAGCTTTCAATACGAAAATCAGCCAACCGTCAAATCAAAAGTTGCCTGCTCGCTGCTTTTAAAAGTTGAAAGTATCAAAATTAATTGGTTGAATGAAAAGTTTGGCAGTGTTGGAAATAAAAACGGATTCATGTTCTTTCAAAACAAACTTTTGGATTGAACATGAGATATTATTAAAACAATAAGTGCTGTTTTGAATAGAAGAACACAATATTTTGAAATTGATAACGAAGATTTTTAACAAAATTACTTAATTTTTCATTTTATATTCTAAACAATCGTTTGAATTTCAAGCAAAAATGCTCAAAAATTATTTATTTATTTTTATTCTGGTTTACAATATTAATTTAACGTTATGAAAGGAAAGATATAAAAATTACTCTTGTTGCTAGATGGCCAACTTTTACATTGAAGGCAGAGGTTGCGTAGCGCTTCCGTAGGGCTTGATCCTTCAACAGGTCGTCCTGGCAAATTACGTAGGCTGATATAAAAAAGAATCTAAAAATCCGAAACTATAGTATTGAAAATATCGAACTTACCATTTGGAATGTCAATTGCACTTGGATCACTTCCTAGATCCAGTAAATAATGCTGGAATATCCATCGAATAAAAGATGCTGAATGGGAAGAATAACTCGAGTTGCTACTTCTGAGCTGGATGTCATATTCACAGCAGCCAGACTAACAGAAAAGGCGGCAAATGAGATTTCAGTGCAGCCAGTAAAAACATCGATGAAGGGGTATTTTTGACAGTTGTACAACTTTTGTTTTAAAACTATGCACTTTTAAAATCACGGGTCAAAAGTGAAAGAAAAACTTTCAATTTGAAAAACTGACTTTTATTTCGAATATTTTCATTGTTGAAACAAGTAATTTATACCCCGTTCACACTACAACCTATATTACGTGATATAGCCTATCTTGATATCAGCATCCATACATCTAGTTTTCACTGGAAATAATATGTATGACGTTTGATATCAAGAAATTCTATATCAAGTAATATAGGCTGTAGTGTGAACGGGGTATTAGGGACACTTTCAATTTAAAAATGCATTATGTTTATTGATACAAATTTGTTTGTTTGTGTGTGTGTCTGTCGCTCGGATTCAGGCAAAGTTGCCAGTCTTCTTGATATGTTGTCTTCGATTTTACTCAGGCACTTTTGAGCAAACTGCAATCACCCTCTCATACTCGAAATATGCCACGACCAACCTGGCACAACGATGCCCTGTATACTTCTTTGACGTTTGTGAAATGCACAAGTATTAGTGCAGAAGTTTGGGTAAATTATAAGTAGGTATTAGTGCAAGGAAACCTTTGAATTTACCCAAAGTTCTGTTCTTTGTGCAATTCACAAACGTCAGAGAAGTCTATACTGTTGCAAACGACTTTTGCCAAGGAGAAAGAAGGCTTTGGTCGGACCGGCTAGCAATCAAAACAGCACCATAACAAATAATGTAAATTTTGTATGCAAGTTTATTCACATCTCCTTCGGCTAAGGTGATCCCTAAATATCACTCAACAGGTTCTTTTTATGTTTCTTCCATTTTCTTCTACTCACGGTACGCTGCATACAATCCCATCTCAAATCCTCGGAGTTAGTTACACCGCGCCGACATCCTGCCGCTCCGACTTCACACCACCCGTCACGTCCGTGGTCCGTGGTGACACACTGTGCCGGTACTCGGCTGTTCGCTCCAGGAAGCCTGTGGAATAGTCACTCCAGCCGAATTTGCTGGCCGATGCGTCGCAGAACTCGATGGTCGATCTCTCCTCGTCACGAACCCTGTCTCAAATCGTCCTCGATGTCGGCTGACTGCCCGAGGACCTGCAGTTCAGTAGCGACAGCCTTTCGCTTCGATACCGGCTCGGTTGGGACAATCGATGCAATCAGGCGAAGTATTACACACTGCTTCACCGGGTCGCCTTCGTCCGGCTGCGATCGCCTTGGTGGGAATTTGGTGTCACAGCGATACGTGGGTATAGCCCGCAAACACGGAAAATCAAGCTGCAAATAAAAGCCCTAAGACAGAAAGAACATCAGTCTTCATGTACATATTGGGGCTCAAGAACAACTTCTCTTTCGAAGGCTTTTTTGTCCTGCAGCCGTGTTGGACGAAGTGAGGGCGATCCCTATGTGCTTTCTGATCGTAATATCCCGTACTTCCGTGCCCGGGTGTGCGATCTTCGAGACGTTTCCCTCGTGTAACAAGATGGCGAGCACGTGCAAGGCCCTCGGCAAGGCCTATGACGAGCAATCAATTTCGTTAGCTTGCTATTAAGCAAAAGGACTTACTGTCGACTTACTCTTTTCCGACGGGGTGTGCTGTTCCGCCTCTCGTTGTTCTACCCTGGATGAGTGTTTTTCCGCACTAGGAAGTTCGCACCGGAGATGGGGTTTTGCCTATCGCAATTCCAAAAGGCCATTTCAAGAACGCAACCATTCCGAAGCTATTTTCGTATACGATAAGCCCCGCTCCAAATACATTTCAATGTGGGAATCATTAATAATGTACTGGAACTTTCATTCAATACATCAATACAGCAATACAGCTTGCTTGATTGACGCGTATTTAATGAGTTTGAAATATTTGTAGTACCACTAGTACTAGTACTAGTTCTCGGAAATTAAGGAATAAAATTGTATAAAGGACAAAATGGAACGAACTCACTAAATCCCAAGTGAACCCAACAAGCTGGCCTGATGTGTTAGAGGGTAAGTAGCAAATGTAGACGGTTCGCTTCACGGGGTAATCTGGTTTGTGATAGAGCTTGCACGGAATGTCCCGAATGTATTCTTGAAACACCTGTTGGTCGTCCGACACAATCCGCACACTGGAACTCGATTCAGGAAATTCAAGTGTCCTTTCGTCACCAATATCACTTTACTGTTAAAAAAAATTCGGAACAACGCAAAATCCAAAAATGTGACGGTAGGAAATTGCTTTGCTTCTATCTACAATCACAGCACTCTTCGATCTTTCAGCTTATAATTTTCAGACATCCGGAGAACTTCGAGATTTGGGCGGCTATTGTAAACAAATATGTCAATCGCTGTTTTCTTGCGAATAAAAGCTCAATCTCGCGAACAAACTATTCCAAATGACAGAGGAATGATTCCTCTACATAAGTGTGCTATTAGTTTTCTAGGCTGAATTTGTATTTGCGAGAAATCGGTGATTGAAGTGTTTGTTTACAAAAGCAATTACGCCCAAATCTCAAATCACTCCGGACATGTTCATTTAACTGCAAATTTACGCAACATCTGCGCGCTTGACGCAAATAGAGCACACACTTTTAGGCGTTTTGATTTTCGACTTTTTTTTTGTATGGGCCGTCGACGTGTTCATAGAAGACTGAAAACATGTTAATAGTTTTAAACGAAATGGTACATTTTAGTTTTACGCCTTAAACGCTTATCTGCGACAAATACACGTATTTCGTTTACATTGTTTAGACTACTGCGAGCGGTTTCATGTAATAGTGCTAATAGTCGAGTATCTTTTTTTTTTTTCCTTTATTTAACGTCGGTCTCTGTTCCGCAATCTAGTGCCAATCACCGACGGACATCGATTGCCATCCATTGACGGCAACCGAATGTGCAGGAAGGCAGCTTCCACACCTGCGTAGGATATCGCACCCATTCACAACACACATGGGCCGGGACCAACGGCTTTACTTCCCTTCCGAAGGAAGACGTGACCAGAGATTTTTATGCCTCAGAAAAATCCCACCGACCTCGGCTGGGGATTGAACCCAGACCCATTGGGGTATTAGAAAGCAGTCACGCTTACCACTACACCACCGGCGCCGACGAGTATCTTTTTTCAATCATTGAGAAAAACCAATGTTAGAATCATATAACAAATAAACATGCTAGTATGTTTGTACTTGGCACTGAAGGTGTCTGCACATTATAGAACAAATAATACGCTTATCGGTTGAGCGTAAGCGATTACATTTATTCTTCCCTTCTTTCTATAGGTACCCACAGACACTAAGGACACTAGCAGAGTCAACGCGAAATACCTAGCCGAGCGAGAAATTCAACGTGAAGAAGAACAATAATCCTTTTTAATCCTTTGTACTTGTCGCTAGGTTAGCTCTCGCGCGTTTACTCTGAGCTAACGTTCACAGGTAGTAAAAGACAATTTATACTCACATTTCATATTTATTCTTACATGCAAAAATTATGTACAAATTAAATATAATTGGAGGTATATTTATTTCACGCACACCCTTTCGTTCTGACTTTCATCTAAATGCATTCAACTCAATCCACTGACAGCAATAATAAACGATAATAGTGAAAATAATAACTGGAAAAATAAAACTAACTAATCATATCGTAAAATTTCGTTTTATTCCTCACTCGGAATATTGCAACTCTTCCATCGTACACCTAGTTCAGCAATGAATACACAAGGCAGGAAAAAAAAAAAACTCAGCGGTATCATAGAAATTAACTAAACAATTTGATACAAAGATTCAACTAGGATTTTACAAACACGTAAACATTTTCCTGCTTCGCGTTGCCATGTCATTCAACCGCTCACCAGTGAGCGACTTATCTTGTTGGGTGTAGTCATATTGCGCATTTCGATCCTTGAAATGGATATTTATGTCAACGAACGTTATGTTGAACCCATATTCATGTTCACATACCTGATTGTTCTCGGTAGGCAAGTACTGTCTAGCTTGTATTCCTGTACCTTCAGCATCGCAAGAGTACGTAACGTTGGATGAAAGTCCAGCACGTGTGTGTCGCTATAATCGTATGTGGCTGGATCCGAGAGATGTGATGGGCTAGAGGAATGAAAACATTAACGTTTCGTATACCTTTATCAAACAAGAATGTAAACAGACCATGTGCCTCCGAATAAATACATTCTCTGGCCTATTACCAGACATGATTGCCGCCGACGTGCTCTAGGAGACTGGCCTCGTGGGTGTGCTAATCTCCACACATATCGCACTGGATCGAAGCAATAGAGATCATTGAAGTGTATGTCCGAATTACCGTTGTAGCCACCGAAGATGTAGATTTTGTTTTTGAATACAACTAAAATTGAAGATAGCTTTCATCATTCTAACCTGAAGACACACATTTAAGATTTATAAGACCTACATGCTGAATGGCTTCTTCTACCGAGTGGCTCTTCGCCTGTGGTATTTGGCATCTCCCAACGGTTCGTTCTGAGATCCAGACAGACTATCTTCGGGCAGTAAATTTCCTCCTGTGAATGATATGGACCCCAGGCATCTCCACGACCACCGAACACGAACATTTTATGATTCACTATGGTGGCGGAATGAAAGTCCCTGTACGACGGTGGATCACCTCGGGTATCCACATAAGTCCAGTGCATCGTCTGCAGATCCAGATAGTGTACATCACACGAGAATTTGTCAATGATTTCTTCGAAGCCACCGAATATGTACATGCGATTGCCATAAATGCACGCCGAATGGCCATCTCTTGCACCAGGAACCCTTCCGGTGACGGCAGGTTTACTCCACCTCAGAGTCTTTGTGTCGAAACAAAACAGGATATCACAAACAATTTCGTCGTTTCTTCCTCCCCAAATGTAAACCTTATGCTCATACGCTACCGCCGTATGGCCATATCGTTGAAACGGAACATCCGGGTACTTGCATGGCACTCCGTACTCATCTTTCATCGTCGGAGCCAGAGTCCATCGCATATTGTTGGTGTTGAGTATGTGCACATCGATGGCACATGTGGAACGATAGTCTTCTCCTGTGCAATAACCACCAAACGAGTAAATATAGTCCCCCACGGCCACCGAGGCATGGTTGACTCGTCTGGGACCACCATCAAGGTTGGCAATCCAGCGCATAATTGCAGCTCAATTTTCTCTTTTGACAGCACAAAATATTCACGAAAAATTGCTATCGTCGTAATTACTCTTGTTCAAAAACCCATGATAAAAACACACACAGTAACACTCCCTTGACACAGCGCACTGATAAGGGAAGCACCTTCGGTCGGCAATCACAAAATTGCTGTTACTCACGATTTGCACTTGCAACTTCAGGTAGGTGTGTAACAAATTTAATCCCTAGTATGGGAAATTGCGAGGCGTAGATCTCTTCTGTTGTAAACAATCGCCACCACCCAAAGGCAGCAGGACCACCATTGGCTCCCGATCGCTGGGTGCTTCTTCTCGTGAATTGAGCATTTAATTCATACCAATTATTAGATTATTTCGCTCGTAAATTGGAAATTCGGCCGCAATAACCACAAAATACCATCAAACAACAATTACGATTAAACAAACAGGACTATTTGTAGCTTCAAGTTATTTTCTCCTAATCTCCGATTGATGGGTTTTGATTGTTTTGAAAGGTTTCCAACTAAACAGAAAGACACGGCTGATGACAGATGATGGTGAGAAGTTTTGTTCCTTTTCTCATCGGTCAGCTCCGTGGAAGTGAGAAAAACAAAGCATAAAATTTAGCGTTAGCACTAGAGTTAGCGGCATGATATTGATGGGGTGGAACGGTGTTTTACTCGGTTCTTTCAAATGATACACGCGGCAGTTTTATATAGGTACTAATTAAAAGATTAATAGTGCTTCTATGCATTGTACATTATGCAACGTTGGTATTATTCTAGGTTTTATCTAATTGCAGGAATCCCCCGAAGAGCGCAGTGGTTGATGCAGTACTTGCTTGTTCTTCAAGCAATTGGATTGTTTAACTTCGAAAAATATACCGATTTTTATACATCATCTGATAGAGCTTTGTTTTCTGAGCACAACGGTATTTTTATCGATCCTGTAGACATTCATCTCGATTTTTAAATTAATATTTAAATTTTTGATCGTTGACATTAAATCTATTCGTTGACAGCCAAAGTCCCACCAAGGGGCGCTAAGATGGTGATTTTTGCTAATGTAATCGTACTTATTTAAAATAGTTCCAGTGTACCAAAATTGATGAAATTTTGATTTCGGTTCCATTTTTAATGCAGATAACGAATATGTATTTACCTCAATACCCCTAAACAACCCAATTGGGGTCATACCGACCAATGACCACTCGAAATTGAGGAAAAGTTTATCCCCTTTCATAACGTTTTTTCTATAGATAGCTGCTTGTCACATAACCTTACACCCCTTCTCCCTTAGGGCGTCACATAATGAATCATGTTTTTCTGTACATCGGAAATACATTTATTTTATTTTACTTTTGATTATTGATTATTTGTAATATTCATAAGAGTCCACTAGGTAATACTAATAAGCCATGCCATGCAAAAAAATTATGAAGCTCATGTGTTAAATAAACTGTACCTCCAGTTTGGATGACATTGGGCTAAACATGAAAAATTGCATTGTTTGATTGTTGCAAATATTTGAATATACAGAAAATAATGATTAAAATTTAACATCGTTTAAAGATGACATATAGTATTTTTTTTTCAACTCCTGGAGTAAAGCGCGAGGTAAAGCGTAAATATCAATAACGAATTGTTTTATTTATATAGTGTTCTAAAGTTTAGTGTCATAAATACTAGAAAAAAGAAAAAAAACGTTGTCAAAAAAGTCCCCTATAAACCTACTCAAATATCACGCTTTTACGTGGATAGACGTGGGTTACACGTGATCCCCAATCATATATACGAATTACTTTATGATCATATCCAAGTGTACTTCAATTAAGTACCTTTTCTACTCAGAGTTGCTCAAAGTTACTCTGGTTTGCTCTGGGATCTGATATAATTGGCGACCAAAACAGAATTAGCAGGGTATATAGTTTTGGAATCTGACCTTGCATGTCAGTTCGGCAACGGAACGTTAACAAGAAAAGAAGGTAAGCAATGGATGCAATATCTACATTAAGGAAATGATCTCGTTTTCTACTAGTTTTTTGTAGTTTTTGGCATTTTACAAAAATCACTGTGGGGTCACGGACAAGGGTCTCTGAACAGAACAGGGTGATTCGGAATAACTGTCACTTTTTAAAAAGGTCGTAACGATAGAACGCTTGAATAATCATTTTTTTTGTTTTTTTTGTGTATTAATTTATTTGATAAGGCTCAACCGAATTAACTTTACAGAGCCGAGGATTCTTGGTCACTATACAATACATCTTAAAACTATAGTCAAAAGGTACAACACAATAAACACTTTATCACAGACAAACAGACATAACTCTCGCAAGTTGTTCATCGAACAAGCATTTAACGGTCAATTTAAAAGCATCGTAGTTGGTAGTACCGCCACCTGTGGCGCGCATAGTCAATTTCCTTGCGTTTGACGTTTACACACTACCGCCATCTGTTCAGCGTACTACCCACCACCGTGTACTCAACAGATGGCGGTAATGTTTTAGCGACGATGTTTTACGGTGAGAAATATTCAATGAGTTATGTCTGTTTGTCTGTGACTTTATCTTCTGCTATCCAAAAAGCCTCCTCCATCACAACTGGAGCCGCTTCCAGTAGTTTCATTGTATGGCAAATTGTTGTACGCCAACGAGGGTCAGAGCGCGTCCATTGCAGGAATGGACGCAAAACGTGGTCAGCACTCACACATTCATCACGAAACGGTTGCTTTCCAAAGTCGACGACGCATCGACCGAAAGAACTGCAAATGAAGAACAATGAGGAGGACCACACAATGGTTGCTGCCAAGAAAACAGACGATCGCGTAGCACACATCGAGAGTGGCCTGCTTTTGTCGACAGCCGAGTGAACACTCATTGCATGCTTGCATGATCATGATCAAGCGCTTTGGAGTTACAAGTACTGCATATAAATGGTTTGAAAGCTATTTGTGTGACAGAACTCAAAGGACTGTTTTCAATGATTCTATTTCCAGTCCCGTGGGAATAACCTTGGAGTGCCCCAGGGAAGTGTATTAGAGCCCCTTTTAATGATTATGTATATTAATGATTTACGACGTGTTTTACGATATTGCGACATTAATCTGTTTGCAGATGATACTGTGTTATTCATTGCAGCTAAGGATTTAGATGATGCCGTTTCACACTTGAATGAAGATTTTGGCGTATATATCATGTACAATAAAATGAACTCGAACGTAAACTAACAAATAAAACTTTATTAAAATGACGAACTAAAAGTATACATTGACTTGTAAGAAGCGCACACGATACAAGATGACGGACTCGAACATATATCAGTGCCAACATTTCAAAGGGGCGTAAATGCATTTGTAAACAATGGCTTTAGTTGTCGATTTCTCGCGAATGAAAGCTCACTCATGAAAATTAATGACACCGTGCTGGTGTGTTTGAGGAATGTTTCATGTATCAGCTAGCATTTGTAATTTGGAGGGGTGGGTTTTCATTTACGAGAAATCGACGTCTAAAGCCATTGTTTACAAAAGCAATTACGCCCCTTTGAAATGTTGGCACTGATATGTTGTGTTGTTATTATTTCTTATGCTGGCGCGCATCTACGGGTGACAGCTTAACTGCTACCAGTGAGCTCAGCAATGTTGGTGTTGGTAGCGATCGTTAGGGATGTCCATGTTCCCAACAGAATTGAAAGGGGACGCGATTTTCATAGATACAATACTAGAAACGCGGATGAAATAAGAACACTATATTTCTTGTCCTGTGTTTCACAAAATTCATTCTATTTTAAAGGAATAAATGTTTTCAATTCGAAGCCCAGACACATTAAACGTGCAACTACACTTCCAGAATTTCACACGTTAAAGCTGTCTTATGAACAGTTATCTAATGTTTTTTTTTTATGAATTGGCAAATTATGTATCTTGACCGAGATCTTGACGAAGTTTTTAACGGATTAAACTGTCATAATGACTTTTTAATAATTTTTGCAAATAGCACGGAAAAAAAATATTGTGTTTGCCACGATGGTGATGATGGAATTTTAATATTTGATTTAATAGTAATAGCACAGACAAACAGACATAACTCATTGAATATTTCTCACTGTAAAACATCGTCGCTAAAACATTACCGCCATCTGTTGGTACACTGTGGTGGGCACTACACTGAACAGATGGCGGTAGTGTGTAAACATCAAACACAAGAGAATTGACTATGCGCGCCACAGGTTAAATTATCCGTTAAATGCTTGATCGATGAACAACTTGCGAGTGTTATGTCTGTTTGTCTGTGGTAATAGATTTAAAAAAGTAGGCCACAAAGGTTTGAGAACTATAGGGCTTTTTGCCAATTTCTTTAGCAGATCGCAACTCGGTGATTGGTGTGAAAACAGCTTTAGGTTGGAAATTTATTTTTAAGTTAGTTCATTGTGTTTACATAGAATAAGGCGTTACTTACAATTTTTCGGTTTTGAGCGTGTTTTACGTGTTCTTTGTTCTTTGAACAATATCGTATTGTATTGTGAACCTCGTGTTTGTCTCACAATCGAAGGTTTATAGTTTTTAGACAAGAAATAGCGTGAGAATTCAATTTTAGCAACAACTTACTATCTGTGATAACTTTACTGTGATATTTTGGTTTTAATTCAATTTGTACTGTGTAGGAATGTTTTAACTGTGAATATAGATAATTTTACATAACAAATTTCAAAGTTTCAATAGAATAATACATTTCACACCTTTCCAAACTCAGCTCACTACGTTATGGCATGAAACAATATTCCTTTCTCCCGGTAAGGATGGCTGCAGTGGTTGCTGCTGACTGTCGTTGACCCTGTCGAAGAGTGCGATCACAATCCGCCAACAGTGCCCCCAGTTTGCAACAGATATAGAGGACTGAATTTAAAGTTTGATAAAAAAATATATATGCAATTTTTAAGCTTATTTGGAAGATACCTTGAGTTAGTAGTAAGTTTTCTTGCAAATGTTGGGGGTTCGTGAGCATTCCTGACATTGCTGAAAATTATGATAGCATCAGATTGCGGGGTTGCTAGTGTAATAGGATGCTTTGTTGATTGTTCATTAACTCTTGATCGTTTGTAATATTTATCAACATTTTTGGTTGACAAAAAGGCGAACTAAAAGCTGGACGCCTGAGCTTTTTCACATTTATATCGCTGTGAACCAACTGTAAACTCTAGATGGAATTTATATCTGTAACTGTAACCAGTTCAATTTTTTTGCTAACCTGGTTAAAACCGAAGGGCACGCAATAACCTTTAACTCCGACGCAGGAAACAACTGTAATTAAGTTAATTCCAATAACTACTGCTTTAATTACATTAATTACACTGTGTAGAACATTAACTACTTTTTAAGTCCATTAATTACAGACGAAATTTCGTAATTAAAGTACATTAATTACATTTTCAATACTTTTAATTACATTCAGTACGGATAGTTAATTGTTTTTCTTTATTTAAGAGATTTTCAGCCTAAAGGCTGGTTCGCCTCTGTTAATCGGATAGTTAATTTTAATTACCGTCAGTACTACTTCAAAATGCATTAATTACTTTCAGTATTTCTAATTGCATTTTAACTTCAACGCACTGGTTCTTTGTATTGCGTGCCCCTCGGGTAAAACGTCATATTTAATTGTCTTAAAGATAAATCGTCCAGCTCAAACCTTCGTAGGGGTAAGAGGTGGGACCAATATCACCGATAAACTGACATGAATAATCGTAGAAAATAACAAAGAAATTTCTGATCAAAGCACAAAACTGACATCTGCGCGGAAAATATTTATTCTAGCCACGAACCCGCGTGCAAAATTTGTGAGTTGGTTAGTGTCTAATCTATTTCGGACGACAGATGGGATTTTTTTTAAGCTTTATTTAAGAGATTTTTAGCCTTAGGCGAGTTCATCTCTTAACAGATGGGATCGCTGCACATTTGACATGGCCGTTATGGATTCTCGATCAAGAGTTAAGTTTAAGTTTCATGTCGGTTTGTCGGGGCAATCATCATCATCATCATCATCATCGTATAAATTTACCTTAAAACTTTGTTGAAAATTTCCTTAAAATTTCCTTTTAATTCTTTTGGAATGCTTCTTAGAATTGCGTTGGAATCATCCTCAAACTTTCATTGAAATCTATCCACAATTCTTTTTAGATTTTCCTTCATCTCTTGGAATTCTACTCGCAAGTACCATGGAGTGCACTTTACAAATCCCTTAGACAGAACTCTCTTTGGAATTATCTTGAAATCGTCTTCAGAATTATGTTGAAAATTTACGTTGAATCTTACTCAGTATTACTTTGGGATTATACTCAGAACTACCATGGAATTCACCTTAAGTTACACTTTAATTTTCATCTGGTGTTCAACAGAACTACTTGAAAGAAATCCTCAGATTTCCCCTCAAGTTTTTCTAACCATTATCCTCTGAATTCCCTTGAAATCATCCCTAGAGTTGTTCAATCCCAGTCAACACTATCGGGATTTTCTGAGACATATCACGCCTTAGTTCAGAAGGGACGTAAAGCTGTTGGTCAAAAACGATTCATGGGTCCACGGTTAATGGGTCGATAGGTAGGGTCCAAGTGAGGGTGCTTCCCTGGCGCCGTTAGCATTGGTACTCAGTACGGAAAACAAGATCGATGGAAAACAAATCAGGGAAACAAAAATCCCTAGAGTTCCTTGGAAATTACCATTTAAGTCCATAAGCTGAGAAATAAGTCCCATTTTTTTAAATCTGGGTTCTTGGAAAACATTCAATGTCCAACGTCTTTAATATTTATTGTCATTCCAGGTTCTTGAAAATGTTTCCAAGCCTGATTTTATTACGTCCAGGGTTTCAAAAATTTGTCTTAAATTTAAAATCTGTATAAATTGTTCATGATTCAGAACCCTATAAAACAATTCAAGTTCCAACATTTATGTTGTTACTGAAGATAAATCCACTCCAGAATTATTATGCTCAAAGAGTAAAAGTGAATAACGAAGAAGATAAAGTTGGTTGTATTTTAAAATGTTTTGAAATTCTTGAGAAGGTTCCTTGATTAATTCTCATTTTTAAGAATCACTAGAATTTCAAAATTCCCTGATAATTCTAGATTTTTCCTGGGAAAATAAAATTCCCTGAGAATTTTCAGTTTTTCAGGTAGTAGACACCCTGGATGAGGTGAATGCCGATTGACAATTCTCAGTAAGTACTTTCACTAATTTTGGTCCAGCGCTGTGCTCAGCAAATTTATTTGCCGAATTTCGGTGGATTCAGATTATTTTCCGAATTTTCGGCATAATGTTTTGAAGAATATTCGAATAAGTATGATCAAAATTTTGAGTTATCTTTTCGGATCATCATTTTTTCTGCCTGGCTCGAGAATCGGTTTCAAGTGTGTAAGTATGTGCTACAGACTGAATAAACATGTTGCCTGCGCCTTAAAAAAGAGAATCTTTAGGAACGCGATTGAAGGAATCCTATTCTCATACAAGTTGGTTTTACCATTTTGCATTTTCTCGGGCTCACATCTGGCGATCTACTTAATGCATGAAGTTCGAAATGTATCCAAATGTTTGCTGCAATTTCGATGTTGAGTTTAGATCCAATTAACACGCGAAATGAAAGTTTCCATCAATCTTTTTCTTAATCCATCTAAACCAGAATGATCACATTTTCTACTCTTTCATTGCATGAACTTGAACTTGCAACCGATCTTGTTCCTGCTCCACATGTATATTCAGCGAATATGCCATGCAACTATTCTTTCTTTCATCGCAATCGTCACGAATCTCTTCGTCCAACACTACCAAGATTGAGAGAGAGAGCTTTTAACAACCAGTCACTGCGCGTAGGGGATTTCCCAGCGCATGACTAAGCAGGTGTGTAGCAGTTACCGAATCATCTTGAAGACACTCTTTCAATTACTCTCCGGAGCACGTACATGTGGCCTAGCGCTATTCGTTTGCATTCAACAACCGTAGCGCTACTTTGATAACGAACGAAGACGCGCTCGATGCTTAGTTCTTCCAAAAGAACCGAAACTAAAGGCTTCAACGTAACCACGAATGATTAATTCGCGCGCCAAAGTTGGACCTTGCACATCGAGATAATTGAAGCTTCCGCGGAAACGTCATCTATTTTCCACGAATTCATACACTGAGATTTGGATGTTTCACACTCCCATGATCGTTTGGTAAAATGCTCTCAGCGTTTTACGACCAAACCACGTGGTGGTGGTGGTGGCTATTGGAGCAACTTTTATGAATGAATCACCACAGGCTCTTTTATGAATGAAATTTAGCTCTTCACCAAAGCGCTGTTCGGTTGTAAGATCAGTGTCTACTGCTGGGGATTGTTTGAATCTATACGTAGACCTGTTGTGCCGTTTTCGTCATCGTTGTGAGCGAAATAACTCTTTCGTTCTCTCTGTCTGGTGAAAAACACCATGTGCGGCAAACGGAGTCTATAGGGGAGGTAGCATTTCGATCTTTTGTTGAGAGTACCGCGCGCGTTTTACTTTTCGGTGCGCGGCGCTCTCGCATCTGCATTAATCATCGGTCGATATTTGTGAAATTCGCGGTATTCAACCACTGATTCAGTGCGCCTCCAACCGTTAATTCGTTCAGATCGTCGCGAGTGCAAGTGATCTTTCGCAGTGCAAGGCGAACAAAATGTGACTGAGCTTTTTGAACATTCAAAGCACATCAGAGGCTATAGAATTTGTTTACTTAGTACGTGAAACTAGACGAAAAGTGCTTAATTGTGTGTTAAATGTGCATCTGGAAACAGACAGGTGTTTATAGCAAATGGAACTACCACCGAGTCAAGCGGAAAATGCAAGATGACGATGAGATTGTACGTGAAACTTCCGCGGCTAGTGATAATGATTCATCGACGGAGGCTGAAGAAAGTGATAACGCTCTTATCTATGTACCTACGAATCCACTGGAGTGGACCAGCGATCACATCGCTTCCTGGGTACAGTGGGTGTCGAAAAAGTTCAAAATTTTCCCCAGCTTGGAACCGGTGAGATTTCCCAACAATGGTGTCGAGTTAGGAAAGTTTACCAAAGCAGATTTCTGGGTTTGCGCCGGTAGCAAAGCCGGCGGTGATACACTCTCCAAGCATTTTGCCCATCTTCTACAGATTGGAACCGGAATCGAAGATAAACTGCTGGGAAATGATGTTGATCCAGGTAATCATTGTTTTCCCCTCGTGTTACAACAGCAACGCCTGGCCGCAGCCAAATCTCGTTGCGAAAATCTTGATAAATGACCAACAGTAAGCTCTGGCTTCCTTCCTTTCAGCACATTACTCTTACCGTGGACGGTTGGACGGAGTGATTCCAGTGTCCGAGAGGAAATGAGACTAGAAAGAAAAGTGATTATGGCTCACTTTCCTTCTCGTTTAGTGATAATCCTTTCGACTTTTCGGTACACCTCTTTGGCATCGAACTGGGCAGTGGTGTGAGGGAGGACGATAAAATAAACATTCCTTGATTGCAATCGGAAAATGGATTCAATTAAGAATAATAATGGCTTCCGTATAGATTCATCCTTTCAGTTTAGTATTTATGCACACTGCGTGGTTGGGATCTAGTGTGGGATCAGATAACACAAATATACGAGAATCGCTTCGTGGTAAATGTGATTAAAGTTATGCAATTCAGAACAGAGAATTGCAATGGATGAATAAGCAATAACTTACTGATTTAGCTATACAAATTTTCGTTGTGAAAAGTAGTTTCCGATTAATTCAGTTTCATATAAAGCCTAGTTATAAAAAATAGAGCACCGCGTTCTTTATAAATGAAAAGTTTATTAGGCTTTAAAAATTAACGAGAACACTTTTATAATAGGGGAATTTACGTATTCTCGGCAACCTAAGCAGCGACCTTCTTTCTATAGCCTTTTTCTCTAAGGAACGCACACATATGCAATATTGGTTTGTTTACAATTTTTGCTGCCAGCTGCTCTAACAATTTCAGTCGAAAGAATTGTCAAAAACTGTTTTGAAACGCTTTTACAAAGCTCCAATCTTCTCTAGTGAGAGCGAGTATTGTCGGCAGCCAGTTTTTCTTCGGCAACCGTTCCATTTGAACTGCATGTAAATCTGCTGTTCTATTATCGGCAACTCGAAATCAGCTACAATTTGTAGTGCGTGTGTTGCATTTCAAGAAAACCTTGTTAGATTGCTTTTTCTCAGTGGTAGAAATATAGTCAAATTGAAGCTTAAAGCATTAAGAATCGTTTGCATGCATTCAGGAAAGTCTTTTCGTAAGAAAATCCAGTGAAAATAGTGTTTCAATTTGTGTTGCCGAAAATAGTCTGTCATGCCGAAGCCGTCATTTCCCCTATTTGTTTTTTTATTGGTTAAATAAATCCAAGGGCATAGCAAGAGAATAGAGCGAGAACTTATTTAAGCTGGTATGTCACTAGGCCGAATGCTATTAGAACGAATAGGTGTCACTAAGACTAAATTTCTATAATCATCCATACTTCGGCATACAGTATCAATACTTATCAAAATTGACAAAAAATATGCTCAATTAAGAGAAGACAAGAAATGTTGAAGCACAATTGCATGATGCCAAAAACAATGTAACTCCAAAGAAGTGCTCATATTTCAAAGATGGCGACATCTGCTTGGGAAAGTCATTTTCAATTAAATCTGAACAAAGACGGTTGAAACCTTTTTCTTACCTTTCCCAATGTTGTAGCGTTTAGGTGTCTTCGAAGAAGTTTCTTGAAATGTTATTCTGCATCTTTTGAAATATGCATATACAATTTTATTAAGGTGGTATTACTCTTTGAAAAACTAAATTTTTGTTATCACAAGATAATATGTTTGTATCTTCGACCAAGCTGTAGAGCTAACTTTCTACATCATAAATCCACCGAGATATGAATGGATTGTTGTCAGGACTACCTTAAAATAAGTTTTTTGACCTATCGATTCGCCAAAGTATCATCAAAATACCCAACTTTTCTGAAGACAGCAATATTGTGAATCGCTCCATTTGCTCTGTAATGCGATTTTAAACAAACATTTCACCAATTTTGTAATTAAAATTTCTCTGAAAATGGCAGTTTCTGGCAAGCAAAATTAATGTTGCTTGATCGATCATTATATGAAGTTCTAATTTTCCAAAAATCACTGTTATCAAACATTTAACAATACACACTGAGAAAAGATACTTGATGACGAAAATTGGTTTAGAAATTTTATAAGTGCAATCTTAAATTAAAAGTATGTCAATGGGGGATTTCAAAACTTACTAGAAAGCCTGACGGCATTGTGCTCCCACACCAGCTGCTACTAGTCCCTAATCCTCTTCTGCCAAGACAGTCACTTCAGCTACTCATAAGCTCATCATCGACAATACAAGGGCCACACCGCGTCAAACAATAAACTAAATGATCCTTTGCTGCCAAACCTTTGTCTGCAGAAGCCTCTGGAACACTTAATAAAAATCACATAAAATGTGCCCTCTCATGAAGCGGCATTATTATCACACCCAAACTGTGATTCGCCCAAACTGCGGTGTAAGGGCATGCGATGTGCTGCCGGCTAGCAATCTGCCGGGCAAGTTTTTACAAGGAATTATGCTAATTTAAACAATAAAGTCACCCCGGTTAAGCCCTGCCAGTCGATGGCATTTATATCAATTTCCCCCCTTATCCACGATGATTGCTCTCAGTCGATGAGGACAAGGCCAAGGGACAAGGGAACCACATGTAGGAACAATGTGGCCGCTCGACCTCTTCGGCAGCGCCACGGGGGTCCATTGGGGAAAAGATTCAGTAACCACACTGACTGCCGAAAAGTTACAAGAACCCAAATCCTTCCCGATGCTCGTGGCTTCCTCCCAGGAAGGAAGCGTTTATAAATTGAATAAAGTACGATTTCCTTTTCACCATTGACAGGATGGAAGGAAGGCGAAAGTGTTGCACAAGTGGCAACAATAGCGTTTATCCATGAAGTGCTGGGATCGCTGATTGTTATAACCCAGCAACACATAAAAGAACGGAACTTGAAAAGGATTGTTAACAGCTGGTTAACTCATCCCATGAATCACATTATGAGTATGAGTGTGTTACCATAAGTAACCAAATTTATATAAATTCTTACATATGATTATGATAATCATTAAATAGAAATTTTAACTCAAGGTCCTTTAGATGACGGTTGATTTTCCGAATAGTGTCATTCTCATATCTTATTCATTGAGCCTTCACGATCACCAAATTCTGCTTTAGATTATCATGCATTTTCACGTAGGCTCACACCAACAACGCCAACAATGGATTCTTGCTTAAAACTTGTAAAAAGAACCGTCCAAACGTTGATTGATAGCATGCTCATGCAAGTTTCTGTTTAGATTAATGTAAAACCAATCAAACATATAAATCAATTTATAAATACTAACCTAAAATAGGAACCACATTTTAGCTCATTTATAATTTCTGCTGTTACCCAACACTAAAGCCATTTTTCCAGTAACTAAGCGACGAGTTCAAAAAGAATCTGCTGCCTGGAATGAATAGCGACAATTTTAAATCCCTATGAATAAATTACCAATAGAACAAACCGCAGGAGTCTGTTGTTATTGCCTTTTCTAAATTCACCCTCATCTCGCCTGGGGAAGCGCGTCCATAGAAGAAGACTCAGTCCCGCCATTATCGAAATGTAATCACAGCTAAACTAAATTACCTCGTTCACAGATAACTATTGAATTAACGTAAGCATCATTTTTCCAAAAATCACAGATAAAATCTATGACATGAACTGGAAATCCCCTTTCTTGGGCGAACGTGAATGCGAGAAGTTGGGAAAACTTTCCTTCCACGCTGAGTCTTTGCCAACACTGCGACACATACAGAAGTTGTTGACACAGGAATTAAGTGCGGCTCATGCGCTTCCGCAACAAACAAACAAACGCCGGAACGAGAAGACGGTAAAGGGGTGGAAATTCTTGGCAAACATCAGAACAAACAAAAGATTCCCGAACACGGAAGCGGTCAGTCAGTCGCGTCACGACGCCAGACGGAACTAGATCTTTCTCGGTAATCGTTGAACGCGTTTATATAACCTGCAACTGAACAGTGGAAGTTTCTCCCGTTCGCGGAAATGAGCGCGAGTGTTGAGTCGATGAGCCTGGGACTAGGCACGGCAGCGATGTGGAGATTTTCCGAGGATCATTTACATGTCGCGAGGCACTTTGCATCCGTGCGGGTTTATCCGGGCAATCACTACAATTCTCACCATCATCATCATCATTCGCATCACCATCCTCACCGGTCTCTACCGTTGCTGTACGGAGGTACGGTTCTGGCGTCAGTTCAGTAGTGATTATTTTATACCTTGATCAGTGTGACTCACGCAACGTCGTTGGAGGCGTTCCATTGCAGTATAAGAGAGGATGTTGTTCGCGGTGATTTTTCTTACTTTGATCAGGAGTGATCCTATTATTCAACCTAACAAAATTAGTGGCAAAGTTCTCGCCGTCTTCGGGGTGGTATCTGAAGGACGTGAATTTATGCGAAATGTGCCCCTCAGACTGGGCGCCAAATGTTACAATGAAAAATTCCGGGAACGATCGGATCCGTATATGGAAATCATGATTTGTATTATGACGTGGTTTCTGAGAATCGGTTTTCGGTGTTGTTGATTTCTACCAAGTGCTGATATATTATGTAAAGCAGCTGCCACCAAAAGCCGCCAGAAAACTAAATAAGTGGAAAACAAACGCGGCCCCCTAACGAGTTGAGTTTTTTGCGGTTTTATTTTGACTGTATTCAAATTGAGTCATTACCGAATTCGTGCAAGGAACAAGTAAATCCGTGGGAAGAGTCGTTTAACAGGATGAGTAACGTTAAGGTTATGTGTGCGATCAATGATTACTAATTTGTGTTTATGTATGAAAACGAGTTTTTATGTAAGATAGTGTGGGTAAGGACTGATAAGATAAGATGGTAAGATAAGAAAAACGTCACCTAGTAATAATAAGCTACATACTTAAATTTTTTTTCACCGAGATTCCAACAGCCGGGATTCAGTAAAACAATTGCCCAGACTCAGCTAACAAATAACATTTTGCTGAGATATCAGGTAACAAACAGATACTTTGCAGAGATATCAGCAAAATTAAATGCCGAGGTAATCGGCTGTTGGAGATTTTACCGAGCTAGATTA